CAGATACAGATACAGATACAGATACAGATACAGATACAGATACAGATACAGATAACGATTTTGATTTGGAATAAGCGCAAATCCAAAAATTGAAATTGAATCGAAAAGCTTCAATCGGACATTGGGTCAGAGGTCAAGCGTTTGACTGTTTGACTTAGACTTGGTTGAAGAAGTAGAAGAAAGAAAAACAAACAGAAAACAACTGTGCGCATATTTTTAGCATATTTTAAAGATGAACCTTTAAACAGCGGCTCAATTCACAGTTAGAAATAGAAATCGAAATCGAATGTACCTTAAATTATTCCAGAATTAACCAACTGGGGCTACGAATCGCAACCGAACCCCAGCAAAGCGAATCCAATAACAAATTGTAAAAGTCTTGTTTTGCATTCTTCATTCATGATTCGTGATTCTTTAATCGCGCTTGATATACTTCCTATATCATTATTCATTATTCTACATCAACTTGGCCTATGTAATTCTTTGATCTTCATTAGTGTCTTTTCTGCACTTCTGCTTATTTATTCATAATTCATCAAACATCAGCTCTTCATTCCTTATTTATTATACATCATCCAATTTTTTGGATTCTTCATTTATCTATATTTCATTGATATTCCATATTTTATTATTCAAAATTCTGTAATCATTCATTATACTTCATTCCTTATTCATCATTCATCTTTCTTCTTCATTTTTCTATTAAAATTCTTTCTTTATATTCACATTATTCACCAGAAATATGCTTCTTCATTCATCAATCTTTATTAAATACATAGTTTTCATAACTTTTTCTATGTTCTAAATAGTGTAATCTCTTATATATGTAGCTAGTAATATATGGAAGTCTATAATTAAAATGGCTTAGTAATATTCTAAAATAATAAATCATTGTTGAATTTTCATAGCACTCTTTGGTGATTCCTCAAGGATTTCTATTTGACATACTTAGCTCTTTCAACAGTTTTGATATATAAATCATTGATCATATTGTTACTAAGAGTTTTAGAGACAGCTGCTATAGTATAAACAGTTTTTCTTTAAATGATTCCCTTAAGTATTGGCTTTACTTAGTTTTAAGATAGTTAGTATAAAAGTAAAACATGTTTTTTATAAAGAGTTCTTTCATATTACATTAACAGCTTCTGTATTTTTTTTTTTTTTTTTTTTTTTTTTTTTTTTTGTTCTGTGAGAGATCATCAACCGAGTCGCAGCTTCTTTGGGGTGCATATGCACACACAGACACGCATACACTTGTATATATAGAACATATAGTATGTACATACAGACATATATCGAGCATACTTGTATCTATTTATAGTCTACGATTTTTCCCACTCGCCGCTGCGGCTGCTGCCGTAGCTGTTGCTGTTGCACAGTAATATGCCCATAGATTCCTTTTGCCTGCGGCAGCATGCACCATGCCCCCAGAGAGTAAAACACACACACACACAAACACACACACACACTCAGATGAGCACAGTTGTTTTCATGCGTGTGTTATTCCTTGGCTCGACTATTGGATTCGAAATCGGAATCAGAATCAGAATCGCCATAGGCCGAGCGCATCAGTTAACTGTCGCTCCCGTTGCTCTGCTGCGTTGCTGCTAGCGTTGTCTTTACGTTCGATTCTATAAGTAGACATACATATGTATTTATGTATATTTACACACACACACACACACAAGCACTTGAGACATTTGAACACATGTGAAAAAGTGAGAGCGCGGCTGTCGCTACCAACACTGCCATCGCAATCTACTAAGTTAAAGCACAGGCCAACAACACAACAACAAGAGCAAGAAGAAGAAGCTGAACGAGGCATCAGTTCCGAGGAGCAGCAACAGCAACAGCAATAGCAGCAGCAGCAGCAGCAGCAGCAGCAGCAGCGACGAGCGCGAGCGTCGTCCGTCTGCCTAACGATCGTAGCAGAACTTGGCACAATGTGTGTCTGTGTCTGTGACTGCCGTTAGTATCGGCAACGGGATCGCGACGAAAAGTTCAGTTTCATTTTCGTTGTCCGTTTGTTTGCTGCTTTGCCTAACGTTTCGTTTAGTTATTTTGGTGTTGGTTAGTACTATTGCAAAGCCCACTAAAACGGATATTTGGCACGGTTGCGCCAATATAAGCATGCATGTGTGTGTGTGTGTGTGTGTGTGTGTGTGTGTGCGTGTGTGTGTGAGTGGGAGTGTGCGTACGTATGATACATAGCTGTAAACGGCAAGCCAATAAGAAAACAAGACGAGACAGTGAGCGAGAGAGGGAGAGAGAGAGAGAGAGAAGAGCGTGCGCCGAACAGAGAGCACTGGATCGCACATTGTATTGAGAAGAAAAAAAATGTGCAACAAAGTGCAAGTGCAAGAATTAACCATTGGCCAGTGACTGTGCGTGCGTGCATGCGTGAGCGTGCTCGTGCTCGTGCTTGTGCTCATGCTCATAATAATGCGCGAAGGAAACAACGGGAAAACAAAAACAAATACAAAATATGCAAAACAAAAACAAAGCAACAACTAGCGCCGCTGTCAGTTATATTCGCTTTGACTACACACACACACACACACACACACACACATGCACACGCACATGTGCAAATTGTATCAATACACACACACACATACTGTATGTATGTGTGTATAATTTTGTGTTTTACTTTTATTTTTGTTTTTGTGTCGCGCTTTTTTTTTCAACTGTAGCCGATGAGCCGCAACGCGGGGCTAAAAGGTTAACTTCTAAATATTAATAGTCGTCGCCGTCAACGAAAAAACAAAAACCATAACAACAAAAACAAAGCAGACCATCCAACAACAAAAATTAAAAATTTAAAACAAAAACATTGAGAGAAAAGAAACCAAACGTACAAGCGATTCAAGTGTACTTTTTTTTTTGTATTTCTGCTGCCTTTGCTAAGTGCTCACACACACACATGCACACACACATGCATGTTTGCAGTGTGCATTTACATTTGTATGCGTTAGCATATGCAATACTTACAGTGTGTACACACCGATTAGAAGTGCGTTATTTTTAAACGGTTTTTCTGTTTCTCTTTTTTTTTTTTGTTTTGGTTCCTTTTACAATTTTTGTGTTTTTGTTTTTGTAATGCTAACATTGCCAATGAAGAAGAAGAAGATCGCAAAACGGATACCAAGTTAGAATAGAGAGAGAACAGCGCGAAAATCTTCGCGTAACGCTTTCTCAGCACAAAACGCTCGCTGCTGCTGCTGCAGCGTAGCAGCTGACGTCGACGCCGTCGCTTCTGTGAAATAAGCTGCTGACTCAAACAAAATATTCAAATGGTAAGTAAATCACCTAGCAAAAGAACAACAATATTAGAAGAGCAAGTCTCTTTGGAGAGAGCGAGAGAGGCAGCGCGAGCAAAAGCCTCGGCTGCGCCTGCCGCTCTCGCTCTCTCTCTCTCTCTCCCTCTCTCTCACCGTCTCTCTGCTATGCACGATTGCAATGCGAGAATGCCGAATGCAAACTCCTAGCCAAACTAGCCTGATTGTCTGCCTTCGTCTCTCGGTCTCTCTCTTTCTCTCTCGCTCCAACATGGCAAAGCTATGTAGCTACATATGTATGCAATTACAGTTACATATGTATGCATGCATAAATGCTTTATTTTGACTGCACCAATGGGGAACGCGCGCAGCAATTGGAGTTGAGGGTGCAGCAGGGGCATTCCCGAGCTCAGTTCAAATTTTGTTTTATGTCTCATGTCTCGGGGCATCAAGTAACACCTTCTGTTCCCAGCGTACATTTTCCCAAAAATATAGTTGATCTCTACATGGCATAAGTGTATGTATATAAATTAAAATACATACATACATACATATATACATATGTAAATCTTAAGTTAATGGCCCACTGCTCTCACCGCTCATCCAGGGTATATAAAAGCCAGTCGATCTGCTTTAGCTTTTTAGGGTGAGCTCTAAGCCGGTTATCAGTAGGAAGGTCTACGTTAGGGTCAAGTTGATTTCTGAGCCATGGATCATATCAATTCGTCTAGTTTACTTGTATGATTCGTATTCGAAATCTGGCAATGATCGTATTTCTTATTCAATTTCCCCGTTTCTAACTGCTGATACCCTGTTGCAATCCATATGGGGTGTTTGGGTGGCGGAAGTATATGAACACAGATAGAGATTTATCTATATATAACGGCTATACGTATTGCATTTTTATCGATGATTATGAATATGTATATACAAAATTGATTTTATATGTATGTAGAGAGAGCGAAATACAGAGGGAGAGGGAGAGGGAGAAAGAGGTGCAGATGGAGGGATAGACGAACAAACGAATAGAACATATTAATTAATTGAAATACTATAGTTAATGAACAAGAAGAAGAAGCGAGAATTTTTGTATAAGAGACTGAAAGAGATAAAGAGAAATGCAGATCCAAACATAAATAGAGAGAAGCTTAATATTTGCTTGTATTATATGCGCTTTATCACTTAATCTAGACTCTCTCTCTCTCTCTCTGCTGCTCTCCCTCTCTTTCTTTCTTTAAGTTTAGTGCTTCATGCCTGGAATTCCCAACAGAGAGAGTAGTTCTCAGTCAATGTTTTCTACAGATATTTCTCTTATTGCTCTCGCCCCTTTCTCTATCATTCTTGCTCCTCAGCTCGCCTCCATGATTCCCTCTTAATTTAGAGCATTTGGGGTTTTTTTTAGTAAGTTTACAGAGTCTTAGCCGAATATCAACTGATCTGAAACTCTCTTTGACTTTCTCTCTCTCTCCCTCTCTCGTTCTCACTCTCGCTTTCTTTTGTAGCAACTCGAATCTTGATAAGTAACTTTTTTTCCCTCTTCTCAGTTTCAGTCTATCATCCGGTCCTTAGCTTCGAATTCCCACACTCACAATAATTTTGAGACCTCTTTCCCCTTTCTCGCTCTCATTGTATAGAATCTCCTCGTCCCCTATTTTCTACCAATATTGAACTATCCCTCTTTTATCTGTTTCTACCTCTTCCTCTCTCTCTCTATCTCTCTCCCTCTCTCTCTCTCTCTCTCTCTCTCCCTCTCTCTCTCTCTCCATCTCTCTATTTCTCTCTTTTCTCTTAAACTCACTCACTCTCTGGCTCTCTCTCTTTCTCTGTCTGTGTTGCAGGAGACAAAGAATCCCCCGCCCACCGTGACGAGCAGCTATCACCATCAGCGTGCGCCGCGCACTCCCGAAAGCTATTTCAATGTGCCCGAGTCGGTGGCTCTGCTGAACATCGTCAAGTCGGAGAGAATCCAGAGCGCGTTCCAGTCGAATCGCAAGAATCATGCGAGCGTATGGGAAATGGTCGCCGAGGTGCTGAACCGCTTCAGCGCACGCAAGCGAACGGCCAAGCAGTGCTGCAATCGGTACGAGAACCTGAAGAAGATCTACACACAGCTGAAGAAGAATCCGGAGCGGCACGTCCGGCGCAACTGGCCGTATATGTTCCTGTTCAAGGAGATCGAGGAGCAGCGCGGCGAGTGCTGGGGCTCCAATGGGAAGCGCCTGGCGCTGATCAGCAAGAATCACAATGAGCTCTCCTACTATCAGCGGCGCCGGCAGGCCGCCGAGCTGGGCGTCCTGCTCACCAAGGACACGCTGACGCCCCATCAGCACAATTTGCTGCAGAGCCTCAGCCACGCCCACTCCACCGACTCGTCGCAGAGTGGGGCGAGTAAAATGGAGCGCGGCTTTATGCCAAATCACTTCGTGGAGACGCAGCTGAGCGAGGGTCCCTGCCCGAATGCTCCGCTGCCGGTGGGCGTGGGCCAAGTGGGCGTGCCCGGCGTGTACGATGACAATCCCTTGGCGAACGCCGTCGCAGCAGCTGCAGCAGCTGTCGCCCAACTGCAGCAGCAACAACAACAACAGCAGCAACAGCAACAACAACAGCAGCAACAACAACAGCAGCAACAGCAACAACAACAACAACAGCAGCAGCAACCAAATGGCCAGGAGCAGGATCAACAGCCACAGCACAGTCTCAGCCACAGTCTCTCTCACGGCCTCAATCAGAGTCTCAGTCACAGTCTCAATCACAGTCACAATCACAGTCACAGTCACAGTCACAGTCTCAATCACAGTGCCGCATTTAAGGATCACGGACATGGCCTGCACGACGAGCCGCCGGAAGCTTCGGATTATGATAAGGACTGCAATGGAGCGCTTAACTTGCATCACAACAACAGCAGCGGCAACGACAATAACATATCCATGAAGTGAGTAGCCTCCCTATGCGATTCTCAGTTCAATGATTTTGCGATTTTACGTTGTAATTGACTGACTGATTTGACTGATTTTTATATCCATGAGATGAGCGTCCTTACAAGGTAATTCTCATGCAACGGATTGGTTGACGTACTGATTAAAGAGCAAGTTGTAGATGCTACTAAACTGAGGGTTTTCTGTATAGAGCAAGCCTAGGAAAACTGTCTTCTGCATAGTAGCTACATTTTCTAAGCATTCAAGGAGTAGTTGACTTGCTTCACTGACTCTTACGCAACTGATTGACTGATGATACGTACTATACTTAAAAACTATAGAGGAGGAGTTGTAGATGTTAGCTCAATAGGCTTTATCAATAGTAGATTCTTTTTTTTTTACCACATATGAGGTAGATCTCCTCTCTATGTGATTCCCATTCAAATGACTGAGAGATCAACATGATTGAAGAGCAGCAAGTTGTAGATGCTAATCAACAGTATTACGTATATTAGTTTCGAAATGCTCAACATCTATAACGTCTATGACTTCTCTAATAGATTATCATTTAGCTGAAAGATTGATTGATGATGGATTGAAATGCAAGTGTAGATGTCATTTATGTCTTATAAAGTGTTTGCTTCTCTATTGGATTCCCATTTAAATAAGTGATTGATTTATTGACTGATTGAAGAACAGACATAGAGCTATTCTAGCATTCTGTTGACTGACTGTTGATTGACCATTCTGTTGATTGACCTGTGAATTTTGAATTTTATTTAGATTTTCACATAAAACACTTCAATTTACCATCTACCCAATTCTTTATGCACACAGATCCGAACCGCTCTCCGAAGGTGAATTCAATCCGGATGACATACAGCTAATGCAAACCAACTACAATGGGTAAGATTGAGCCGAACCGTTGCATTGAATGTGCATTAAGTTCCCTTACTCTCTTTTACTTTACGCAGCGCTCAGAACTTCTACTCGCCGAGCATGGATCAGAATATTCTGCATCCGGATGTGATTGTGGATACGGATAATCTATCCGATTGCAGCTCATCGGCATCGCTGAAGAGCGGCAAACGGAAGATGTCCACATCCACGGATGGGGATAGCACCAACTACGAACTGATCGAGTATCTGAAGCGGCGCGAGAAACGAGACGAGGAGCTGCTCAAGCGCATGGATGCACGCGAGGAGCGTTTCATGAATCTGCTCGAGCGCACAGTCATTGCCATCGAGCAGTTAGCAGCGGGCAAGGCTCAAACACTAGTGGCCAGCAAAGCCACCGAAACGGAAACAGCAATGAATACGGATTTGGGGGCAGTTACTCCGGCTCTAGATTCACCCGGAAAGTGCGTGGACGCAGACGGTGTAATAGATGCAGATGTTGCGGCAGAGGAGTCAGAAGTGGAATTAACGGGAGGGGAAGTAGAGGCAGAAACAGTGGGAGCAAGTACAGTGGAAACGAAAGTCGACGACATAGAAAAGGGAGTAGAAATAGGAGCAGATGGAGAGATCGCTTCGAATCAAACGTAAACCAAACAAAAACAGAAAACAATTGAATGCAGTGCCAAAGACGAGCCAATGACTCGGAATCTAAATGAGATTTTGCAACGTTTACTTAAAAAATATATATATTTATCTATATATATATATATATATATATATATATATATATATATACCCCCAAGTGCTTAAGCAAAGAGAAAATCATAAAAACTGTAAATCTTAAGGAAATGCAAATCTTAGACAAGTAATATAATATTGGCAATATTTGTGCCAGCACTATTTAATTATTAAACTAGGCTTAAGCTGCAATGAATCCTCTAGTTTTTAGACGCAACCAAGTCTTATGGATATATATTTTTCTATATAATCGAATCATTCTACATACGGTCAAAAATAATTATTATTTCTCAAATTCATTCATTCATGTCATTTATGTGCATATGCATATGTACGTATGTATATGTAATTTATATAGCTCTGTTACTTGGTCTGCGTTTTTAATCCTTTTTATTCTTGTAATTCTAAATTTATTTGTTCGCAATTCTTATTCGATTTAAGTTGGAGCTAAAATGGGGCTCAAATGCATTTGTGCAGCTACATATATTAATATGTATGTATATGTGTGTATGTTATGTATACATCGATTTTTTTTTTTAATTTAGTTAAATACACAAAACCAAATTTTTAAAGAAAAAATCCACTCTTATTGTATTGAGCAGTGATTGAGCGCAGCCGTTTTAAAATGGCTGCCATCAACAAAATCAACAACAGCGTTGCCACCTAGTAGATCGTAGATGCAAGCTTTTAGGAGTTATTGGGAACAGCTAAATCGTCAAAAAATCTGCTTTTGTTCCTTAAATTTGCAAGTTTTTTTTAGGCAAGAAGTGACTGCAGCTAGTAACCTTGGAATTACAAGTGCTCATTTCCTCTAACAGGAAACCCGAAAAACTATCGATATATGAGTTACATATGTGTCGATAGTGCTGCCACCTTGTTAATCAAATATACGAGACGGCAATGGCGCCAACATTCAATTTACTTTCAAACTGGCCTTACACGGAAAAATTTACTTCATATTAAAATTCAAAATCTTGTTTAAAACTTGTTTCGCTTTTTATTTTTGTTTTTCTTGACAATTTTACCAACCGGACCTTTCTGTGTCTTTGCGATTTTCTTGGTAATGAGGAATTTGAGACGCTTTTTAACCTGGTCATAATTTTCATTCTCCAGCTCTGCTGTACTCGACTTGAAGAACTTGGCGCCTTCTGCAAGAGATAAATAAAGCTAGATACTTTGTTCACCATATGTAGTCGATTCATACCTTTAAGTCTGACGTCGTTCTTCGGTATAAAGAAGGATTCTATAAAGATTTGCGCCTTCTTTTTCTTCTGTTTGCCTGGCTTCTCATTTTCCTTAGCCACCTGGGATTGCTCCTTTTCCTTGGCCTGCGGCTGTTCCTCATCTTCGCTGTCGGAAGAGTCGTAGCTGAATGGGTTCACCTGACCCAGACCCAGTTTATTGGACTTGTTGACCAATATCTTTTCATGGCCTAGCTTCTCCAGCTGATCCTGTCGCTGTGCAACCGCTTCCTCATGGCTGCTGCCAAACATTTCCAGCAGGCTGAAGCCTTCACCGCGCGTCTTCAGCGATTCCTTCAGCGTATCTGTGACCACGTAGAAAGAGCTTTGTGAGACGGGCGCTGGCTTGGTACCTCCTTCTTCTATCGGCTCCTTTTCATTCTTTTGCTTTGGATGCTGTTTGACGTTCTCTTTGTCTTTGTCCTTCACACGCACCATCTTCTGGTGCTCCTCTTTGGCAGGATCATAGCGCAACATTTTCTTATTTTTGGCCACCTTCGCCGCAGTCGCAGTGGCTGTGTCTATTTTGCGACCAATCACCTGCTCTAAAATGCCCATTTGCCAATCGCGTTCGTTGTCCTGGGGGTTCTCCGGGTGCTCTGGCTCATCCGCCTGCTCCTGATCGTCGTCGTCTTCACCCACAAAACTGGCTGTTATACGAAATCTGGGATCCAAGCTCTGTTTACTTTGCATTTCCACCAGACGTTCGCCCTTTTTGCCACTGTGCTGAGGTAGCACAAACTCTTCCTCCTGCTCCTCGCCATCCGCATCGTCGAACAAATCCCGTCCCTTTGACTTCTTCTGCACCTTAATCTGCTCCACCTCTTCTTCCTCTTCGGCATCGCTGAACTTGATGCGCTTCGATGTTGGCGCCTCTGCCGACGCCAATGCCTGCTGAATAAGCGACTTCTTTTGCTGATGCTGCTGCTTCATTTTATTCAGCGACTCTTTGCGCTTTGAATCTGCAATTGAGGCTTTGGCATCCAGCTGCTTGGTGCTGGGCTTCTTTTGCTGCTCGATAATGTGCAGCGGCTTCACATCATGTTCCTGTTGGATGACAATCTGCAAGAGAAGGCGGTGAGTTAAACCCATTTCAAATACCAACTATAGACCGTTAGTGACGCACTTTGCCATTGTGAATGGAGTTGGCGGCACGCTTCTTGGTTATCAACAGCTCGGGCGCCACTTCATCATCGTTGATCTCCTCGTGCTCGCCAAAAACGCGCCGTTTGTTCTGCGTATTTTGTACAAGCAGGCGGGAACTACTTTGATTTGCTTCACTAAAAGTTGGCTGCTCCTGCTGTTGCTGCTGCTCCTCACGCTCACGTTTCAGACGATCCAAAAATGATTCCTTGGCCAGTGAGACTTTCAGCTGGCAGCCATGCAAGCGCTGCCAGTTAAGCTCGTTAAGACCTGAAATTAAAATGCAACTATTTTTTATAGCTTCACTTTAAGCCCCCATCCACTTCCACATACAGTATTCGGCATCATCTGTTTGCAGCGTTACGAATGCAATAACTTTTGTAATTGTTTGTCCTGAATCATCGAATTGTTCCTTCGTTTTTAGCTCCACACGCTGCACCTGGCCATAGTCCTGGAAGAGACCACGCAGATCCTTCTCTGTTGTGCTCGAAGGCAAATCGGCAAGGAAGAAACGCGTGCCGCTCATATTTATAGTTAGCTTTTAAAAAAAAAAAAAAAAACACCAAGTATTTAAAAATACAAAAAAAAAATAAGGCGCACGTGTAGGTAAAACAACACAGCTGTTGGTGGTTAGTGCTGTAAAATGATTTTATTTTAGAGCATATCGATTATTGCACTTTTGACGTCAGCAAGTGCTGTCCTATATGTGATCTAAATGGAGATGAAGTCGTGCAAAGATATCGAACGTTAAGAGTCGATATATAATTTTATATATATATATATATTTTTTTTTTAATGTATAGAATTTTTAACTTTTTCAAATTATCTAGACCTTGATATGGGATTACTGCACAGCCAAAATGAATTGTTTGCCATGCTCGTCGCGCCGTTAATTGAACAATTGAAAAATTATCGTTACATTTCGATATGTCTTGCGCTAATACACATCTCCATATACACACACAGTCAGATTTTATTATTTATTTTTGTTTTCTACTGTGCTAAATCTTTTGGAGCGCCAAAGACTTTTTCTAAAAGCAATTTTTACAGATACAGAATACAGAGATAATGGATAAAACCAGAGCTGGCAGTGCAACGACTTTGGAAAAATGGGGATTTCCATTGCTAGAGCTCTATCGGCTCGCCTTCACCTTCTACAAACGTAAATGCAGAAATTTGTTATGGTGCCTTGCAAATTGTTGGCATTTTTATGGCTTACATACGTGTTTTTTTGCAGAAAACTCTGGCAAGGCCATACATCTGTCTTACGAGGACAATCTCAAGTTGATCGCCTTCAAACAACAGGCCGCCTTGGGACCCTTCAATAAAAATCGTGCGCCGGCTCTTGGTGTGCTCGACGTGATCGGACGTGACAGACAGCAGCACTGGCAGCTGTTGGGTGATATCACGAGAGAGCAGGCTATGGAGGGTTTCATCGATCTGTTGGACACAATGTGCAGTGCCTTTCGTCCCTATATCGAGGCGGTGCGTCAGAATCGCGATGCCAATCTGAAAGCCGACCTGCGTCGCATGGAACTGGAAAAGGAGGCGCGCGAAAAGCGCGAACGCGAGCAGCAGGAGCTGCTAGAAGAGGGCTACAAGGAGGAATTGCAGCGACGCCAGCTACAGGACGCACTCAACAAGCAAACGTATCAGCAATTTAAGGTAATCATTCAACTGTCGCGGCACACGCTATCGATTTTCTAATACCACGTACGCAATATGTGTCGACGGGCAGGGATAGCAGCCTTTGAGGCTGAGCTTGTGGCTGTTAAAGGTGTTATATAAAGATGTTATTTAATATGTAGCTAAAGAGAACTATATTCAATGTGGGATAGCTGATTCGTGTTCCAATTCAACGAGTGTAAACCAGGATATACATACATATATGATCAATATACGCTATTGTCAGCCTTCCCTTTTCCTATTGAATGTAGTTTACAGGGTATATCACAGTCGACAACACCTTGTGGGCGCAAACTGTTGCACCTGTTGTTTACCCATCCTTCTAGGCCTTGACAAACACGTCAATAATAAATACTAATTGCCGACGCTGGCGGCTCGAATGAGGTCAGAGTCATCGTTCCATTTACATTCACACACAACACTAAATTGGGTCAGACATAATCGAAAAATTCAAGAACACTCTTTTTCATTTGTAAATAAATTATCAATTCTCTTTGGTTTTTGTGGCCTATTATTTACCACACAGCTGTACGCGGAGAAGCAATTTCCTGGCAATCCTGAACAACAGGCTGTGCTCATACATCAGTTGCAGCGGGAGCATTACCATCAATACATGCAACAGTTACATTTGCAGAACCAAATGCAATCGAATCTGAGTCAAGGGGAACAGCAAGCGCTAGAAATGGACAAGGACAAGGGCACGTTGCTGCACGAGGAGCTGCAGGAACACAGCGGCAGTGGTGGTGAAAGCAACAACAATAATAATAATAACAACAACATCACCAACAGCAGCGACGGCAGCAGCAGCACAGTCAACAACAGTCCTGGCCATTCAAATCTCGTCCAGGCCATGGATGCACTGCAGCTGAACACGTTCGAGTGCCAGCAGCAAGAGGAGACCGAACAGCTGCAGGAGCAGCCCGAGGGCGACGGTGAGGGCGAGGCTAATGAGGAATACAGTGATTATGTGATGATACGTCCGGCCAAAATATGGACGCGACCCGATATCGAACAGTTCAAGACTGAAGTTTCTGCCGGCGATGGTGATGGCGTCATTACCATTGGGCACGGCGATACGGTTACAGTGCGTATATACATATAAATTTATAGCACTGATTGATTGTCTGATCTTGAATTGTTTTCTGTTCCAGGTGCGCGTGCCTACAAATATGAATGGCAAATGCATTTTTTGGGAATTTGCCACCGATAATTATGATATTGGCTTTGGAATATATTTTGAGTGGGCAAAACCAGTTACCAGCGAGGTGACGGTGCACGTCAGCGACAGCGATGAGGAAGACGAATGTTTGGACGAGGATTATCTATCGACCACCGAGGATTTGGAGTCGGGTTCCATGTCGCAGGACCGCAACATGCTGGACGCCCAAGCTGCGGCGATGGTTGCTAAGCCACCCATTTCCATTATTGTGCCAATATATCGGCGCGAGTGCTACAACGAGGTCTATGTGGGCTCGCATTCATATCCTGGCGAAGGAGTATACTTGCTGAAATTTGACAATAGCTACAGCATTTGGCGATCCAAAACGCTTTATTATCGCGTCTACTACGAACGATAATGCCAAAACAAAACGAAATGAAAGCAGTCTAGTATTAACCTACACCACTTATCAAGTGCATATACATACATACATACACATATTTGGGGGTGTATAGTCCAAAATATTAGAAATATTGCTATGAATTTCGAAAATCATATAAGCTGTTAGGGAGGATGTGCGTTGCGTCTTTTATGTTTTGGGGTGTGTATGCATAATGTGCGTATGCAACAATTTAGGAAATACACTTTTCCACTTGCAAGCTGATAAAATTATTATTTATTATATAGTTTTCAAAATAAATTAATATGTACTAAAAATATCGAACAAAGTCTGTTTAACTCCGATTAGCAGATAGAGAGAGAGAGGCTGGCCAATTGGCGCTTAGAATTTTGACGATTGCAAATTGAAAATCTCAGATTGTAGCAGCCAACATATAATTCTTTTTGTTAATTTAAGATTTATTTTCATTGGATTTTAATGCAAAAAGTAACGTTTACATGCTGTGATAAAACCAACGCTGCCAGAAGTCACCAGTTAGTGCTGCCAGATAGTTTGAATGCACCAACCGACACCAACAGCTGTTTGCCAAGGCAACGATGCCAGATGTGCACTATATTTACCATGTGCTGTTGTTGTTGTTTAATTTGAAAAGCCGGTAAATTTGTGTTATGTATGCAGCCGCATCGCAATTGCCTAAATATCCAGCTGCATGCAGTCGACTGGGCCAACGCTTGGTCAGCTATATGCTGGGCATCGAAACCTCCTGCGATGACACCGGCATTGCCATAGTGGACACAAGCGGCCGAGTGCACGCCAATGTGCTTGAGTCCCAGCAGAAGTTTCACACCCGGTAACAAATACTTCACATTGTAAATAAAAGAAATATATTTATGTATATAAATTACTAGTTACGGCGGCATTATACCACCACGTGCTCAGGATCTTCATAGAGCGCGCATTGCAGCTGCCTATGAGCGGTGCCTGGAGCAGGCGCAACTGCAGCCGGAGCAGCTGGCCGGGATTGCGGTGACCACACACCCGGGCCTACCCTTGAGCTTAATTGTGGGTCTGCGCTTTGCCCGCCATCTGGCACGCCGCCATCACAAACCTATGTTGCCCGTACACCACATGGAGGCGCATGCCTTGCAGGCGCGCATGGAGCATCCGACTGAAATAAGTTATCCATACCTATGCCTGCTCATTAGCGGTGGCCACAGCCAACTGGCGATGGTTAATGGGCCTGGTCGGCTGACGCTGCTCGGCGAAACACTGGACGACGCACCTGGCGAGGCATTCGATAAGATTGCACGACGTCTGCGGCTCTATGTGCTGCCACAGTACAGACTGTGGAATGGCGGACAGGCCATTGAACATGCTGCTCGAGATGCCAAGAACCCGACTGCATTCGAGTTTCCATTGCCTTTGGCGCAACAGCGCAATTGCAATTTCAGCTTTGCGGGCATCAAGAACAATTCCTTTCGTGCTATACGCAAGCAGGAGCGCGAGGAGCGAACACCTCCAGATGGCATCATTAGCAACTATCGGGACTTCTGTGCGGGTCTGCTAAATGCAGTCAGTCGCCATCTTATGCATCGGACGCAACGCGCTCTGGAGTACTGTTTGGAGCGGCAGCTCTTTGGAGCTGCGCCGCCCACACTTGTCATATCGGGAGGCGTGGCGAACAATGATGCCATTTTCGAGAATCTAAAGCATTTAGCTAACGCCTACAACTGCCGCTGTTATCGACCGTCAAAGCTCTACTGCTCCGACAACGGAGTCATGATTGCCTGGCATGGCATCGAGCAGCTTCTCCAAGATCCAAATCAGAGTCTGCGACTGGACATTGACAAGATCGACATCGCAGGCAGCGCTGGATTTCAGCAGTCGATGGTTGCCGATGTAGAATTGGCGGCCATCAAATGCAAGTGGATTAAACCGCTCTAGTGGAGCACGGTCTTTAAAAAAGAAATCTATGTACTATAACTGTTGTAATATAAAAGTACTATAACTGATAAGATTTTGTTAATACATGCAGACAAGGCTGATTGAGTCATCTGACGTTAATATAGCAACAGTCAAGCTATAGCAGTCGTATAATGCGCATGGACGATTCATCTAATGTCCACGCTCACTGCAATAACGTTTTAGGTACTTAACTTTTGGTAGTCATAGAGCTAAGAACAAAGGCTTTGCAGTAATCAATAAAAACAAAGAAAATGCTCTACTTTCTCAGCAGATACGTTATATAAAGTGCCGATCCGCTATATAAATTAATTGCAGCATATATATTTTAATGGTTATAGCACTAAAGTAGTTGATAATGAGTTAAGCAAACAGCTTACGATGAATCAACTTTATAATATACGATGAGTGTTGCTGTCCGATACGTATATATATGCTGATTGATTCAATGTATAGGCCTGACCTACCACAAGTTTCTAAAATAAGCGGACAATACACCTGGATAGCAAGCCTAAGTATAGCTGACAGGTGATCTATATATAGAAAGTATACTTATTGAACCCTAAAAAAAGGTTTTGGTTCTGCATCTCTTTCTAACTCATAATACCCACAAAATTCTGATATAGGGATAAATATGTAGACGCATACTAGTATAGATATATCTGCATGTTTATACAGAAGGAGACATCCTTGTATATAGATACATTCCTATTCAGACTTTGATTGATCCAACGATAGATATATCGGTCTATAGATATAGATACAGTCATTCATAGATATAAACACATCCATTTATATATATAGTTACATCTTTATTCAGATATAAATGTATCCTTCCATTAATATGGTTTCATCCCTATCTCTAAGGATAAGTCCATCTGCATCCTCACATAGATACTTTTTTTTTAACCACATAGATCTCCCCGTTTCATCGACCCAAAGTTGATTTCATTTAGTTTGTTTATACATTATATATATATATATATATTTGTTTTGTTTTTTTCTTTCTTGTTTTATTATATTATCTGAAATCAATAATGTCAAATCTCTAATGTCTAAAAAAAAAATGTAAAAATTGATAATGTATACATATAAAAATATTAAAAAATGCATTAGTTCTTTTTCCATCTGCCGACTTCGTTTCTGCTTCTTCTTCTTCTACTACATTTTTGTTTTTGTTTTTTATGCTGCACTACAATACAATTTTTGTTTTGTTTGTTTTTGTTTTTCTCTTTTGCTTCATGTTTTTGTTTGGATTACTTATATAGAGTTTAGTTGATTTTGTTTTTTTTTTTTTTGTATTTTTTTCTTGTGTTTCTAAATATGTTTTTTATTTATTTTTGTGTTGTTGTTTGCAACGTTTTACTTATATATTTCAATACTCTTAATTTTTGTTTTGTTTATTACATAATTGCGTTTTACATACATTACGCATAGCTTTTATTATTATATATATATATATTTTTTTTAGTTATATTTTGTGTACCGTTATTTATTGCGTGTGTGTGTTTGTAAACAATTGGTAGACATATTGTTTATGATTATATATATATATATATAAATATATGTATATATATATATATAAATATGGTTTGTTGTCTCTCTTTCTGCTCGCTGAGTTTACTATTGCTGTGAGCAGCTCTTCTTCTTTCACACATCTATATATGCATATATTTATATATAGTATACATATACATATATATATAGTTGAATTTATGCAAAACATGCAAATCTGCACAAGTTTTCAGTTTTGTTTACGTTTGTTTTATTTTTAATTTTTAGTTTTGCTTTTCTGTTTTTCTCTTTTGCTTCTCTTAATATAAATAATTTGTTTTTTTTTTTTGTTCACTATTTATTGTTGTTTTCTCTTTTATCTTAATATGGAGGGGACAGAGAGTGTTTAGATACGAAAAATATATATATGTTTATATATATATAGTTATATAATTTTATAATAAAAGTTAAATTAGGGTTTGGCTTAGATAGAGCACTGGTTAAAAAGCAAATTGAAGAAAGAAAAATAAACAATTTAAAAAAGAAAAAAAGGGAAAGAAACATATATATATATACACATACATATATATAAATATATATATATATACATACGCGTAAATATATATATATATATATATAGCTATATATGAGGGCTTTCTTTGATTCCTTTGAGAGCGAAGCAGAGAAAAAAAGGGAAGCAACCGAAAAAAAAAACCATTTAAAAAAAAAATACACACGAACAACGAATGGATACAAAAGAAATTAGAGGAACCTGCATTTCCTCCGCTTGGTCGGCTCTGGCGGCTCTAAGGCGGCCAGAATTGCCTCATCGAATACATTCTTCAGTCCCTTCTGCGTGAGGGCCGAGCATTCAACATATTTGACTGCCTTCAGTTCCTTGGCCAGCTTCTCGCCCTGCTCGGATGTGATTGGCTTTTGCTTGTTCTTCGCCAGTTTCTCCAACGTGCTCGTCTCGTCGCGCAAATCGATTTGTGTGCCAACCAGCAGGAACGGCGTCTTTTGGCAATGGTGCGTTATCTCGGGCACCCACTGTAACAGAAGACAATGTTATATATGTTATATTAATGCTCCTACACGCTTCCCCTCACTTTCTTTGTTTGCTTACCTTCTCTTTGACATTCTCAAAGGAACTGGGACTGACCACCGAGAAGCAGACAAGAAAGACGTCCGTTTGTGGATATGACAGTGGACGCAATCGATCGTAATCCTCTTGTCCGGCGGTATCGAAGAGTCCCAGCGTATACGGCTCACCGCCGATCATAACGGTCACCGCATAATTGTCAAATACAGTTGGCACATACTCTGATGGAAATTTGTTGGTTGTGTACGATATAAGCAGACAGGTCTTGCCCACAGCTCCATCACCAACTACCACGCACTTGATGGTTTGCATGCCGTACGAGTTATTTTTAACGCGTTTTCTGCGAATTCCAAAACATATATCAATACATGCTATTTATGATAAATCGAAGCAAGCTGTAAGCACTCAATATGCAAGGTTCATCTGTCGACACGCATCATGTCATGGGCCTAGGAGCGACGCCAGATCAATTGCTAAGCTTCACAAGTTCCACGGTAGGCCAAAGAGTCAAGTGATTCATACATCTAAGCTTGCCAAATCATGCTCCTTATAGGCTATATTCTCTTCACTGGTTTCACTGTAGCCCAAACAGTCATGTGTGTAAATATGCATACATACATATGTATGGGTGTGTGTCTGTGTGCCGTCTCATATGGCTTAATTACTTTCGCAAAGAGGCGCGTGGGCGTGGAAATAAGGGAAGGCCCTTGCCCGGCCAAGTGATTGTCAAGTTCTTCAACCGCAGGGTGGTTAAATATCAGAATGGGCGAGGGTAGGAGATGAGAGGGGATGCATTGGACTCATTTGGGAGTGCGCTTTTTTAATATCAACACACACCCAAACACAAACACTCACACATATTATTTACAAAAGAAACATGTTTGTATGTATGTACGTGCAAAAATACTTCATATCAGAGGCGAGACGCATATTGCCATTTCCTTGTAATTTTATTTTATTTTAATTTTTTGCTTAACTATTGTCTTATCTATGCGTGTGAGTGGTATTTGTGGAACTTTGTACACAGAGAATACACACATACACTTACACCCTACTATTCACACACACACATTATACAGCCGGGTATCATTGTCGTCGCAGTCGCCGTCACCGCCGGCTTCCTTTTAATGGAGCATAAAGCAGAGAGCCGCAGGCAAAGGCGATGACTCAAGCTGTGCATGTGTGCGTGCAGAATAAAAGAAAAATAAAGAGAGAAAAAACAACAACAGGCACTCACACACACATACACAAAGTGCCTAGATAAGCGCGCAGCCAGTTCTAATATGAAATATGCAGTGGCCCCTGCCATAACCAAATCACACATACACACACGTCGATAGCGTATATGCATGCATATGAATTTAAGTGCGCGCGTGTGTGCCTTAAACGTAGTTTTGCTGCAGCCAATATGCTAATTTATTTTGACACAAATGCACTTGTGTATAAATATACACACATACATGCATACAGGCACATGCATATGCGCATATTGTTTTGCATCGCCCACACACACACACACACACGTACGGGGAGTTTATAATTATTAGAAAGCCAGGCAAAACGAAATGCACAAATTATGTTCACATTTCGAAAATTTTGCCAGCAGCAAGAATAAAATTGAGCCAATCGTTTGCAGCAACACACACTGACGTACTCATACACACACACACGCACACTGACGTATAGAGCAGACACTAGCAGCTAAAGCAGTCATCGTTAACATTTTTCGTCACTTTTCACTCGACAGAATTTTCTCTTTATTGGCACACCAGATGTATTGGTTTATTTTTTTTTTTTGCTCAGTTAATAAAAACATGCCCTTGCGTTGGCCTACACAATTTTACTTACAACTGATCTAAATTGAAATCGGCAGATATATTTGTTTAGTTTTCGCTATTTTTTGGGCTGGGTTGGGCGTCGATTCGTATAGAAAACTACTATTTTTCTTTTGTGTGTTCGTTCTCTGCAGCAATAGTAATCTGTATGCGTGCGAATGACGAAGCACAGGGTTGCCACTGCGACAATCGCTATCGTAATTTTGACGTTTATAAATGGCAGCACTATGATACAATGTTGCCACTCCGATTAAATGCAACTCTCTCATCTGTCATTTAGAACAAGAATAAGAGAGGAATAGGACCAGCGACAACAAAGTAGGCGACCAATATTTCAATCGCCAGGCACTGATCAAAAAATTTGTAAACGACCGAATGACATAAAAATGGCTGGGTTTTTAAAAAACAGGTATGTAATTTATTAAGCCATATTTAAGAAAATCAACCAATCGAGTAATGTCAATTGCGACTTAATGCAGTCATGCGCATGCATAAATTGAGAAACGTACATATGCATGAACACCATTACAGTGACCTGCAGTTTATTTAATTCATGGCCAAATATTTTTCACTTGAATTTTATTTATGTACATATTAATATAACTAAACTATTTTCAGAAAACGAAGTCGGGAAGATGATCTACCTTGCGAATCGACCCCCCTTTCCAAGCGTATCAACAATTTGCATTTAAACTACGACGATGGGAATAGCAGCAGCAGTAGCAACTGCAGCATACCAAATCTAATTAATGATAATAATAATTACATATTACCAACGATCCAAAATGGAGGAATCAGTCCAGCAGAAGTGGTCGGCGGTGGCATATATGATTACAATCCCGAGTTGAATGCTGATCAAAATCCATACTATTATGAGAAGAACAAAATGTTATATGACTTACACGTTGAACGTGTTAAGCGACACAATCACTAAGATTTTATAGGACACAAATGGATTCAACTTAATGCTCTAAGACAAACAAATATAATAAGAATAAATGCGCATACAACACGCTTCAGTCAAGGTGATACAAAAGAAAAACAAGAAATCAATTCAAATCTCATATAAACATAATAGATAACGCTATACACAAAAATGAACAAGGAATAATCAAATCGCTTGCCTTAACCATTCGTTAACAGAATAAATAGCAATATGATAGCTGATAGTGCCAATAATTCAAAGAAATAAACTCAGATGGATTACTTAGCCGATCTTCTATCTTTAAAGGTTCATTTATAAGAAGCTACAAACAAAACAGTTTAAATATGTTAAGTATTCAAATTTCTGCGAATTGAGACAAAATGTGTTCGAAACGTATACAAATGTATATTTGTGTATGTATGTAGAATTAAAAGTAAGCTTTAGCTAACGATAACTACTGTTGAATACAAACCTCTACAAGCAAAACAGAACAACAAGATGAGAGTCGTAAAATATATACATATAGTTAGTAATTTTTAAATATCTACGTACACATAAATACCATAAGACTTTTCAAATTTTTTTCTGCACACACGCAACATTTGTTAAATCTGGTAACTATGTTTAATAGACGTTACAATTGTTCTAGAGTTGTGTGCTGGAGTCCTTAACTTCAATATAATATACTTAAGTTAAGTTAGACAAGCCATGTATGAAGCAGCAATACTGTTAATAAAGTATTATAGGTTTTTTTCTAAAAAAAAAATTGAAAAAATTCGTTCACGTATTTCTTTGTTGAATTTACACTTAGGACTGTTTTTGGGACTGCGCACCACTGTGCTTTGGCGTATTAAACGTTACTGTTGGCTTCTTCAATTGCGATAGTGCAATAAGCGTTCGCTCGCTCTTCTACCATCAACTGAACGCTCTCTTGCTCGCTGTCGCTCTCTCTCTCATTCACATTGGTACGCATTCACGTCCGACATACACATACATACACACGATCGCACACATGCATGCAGCCACACTCATTCTTTGTTGTTGCTATTTATACGCTCGCAATTTATTTTTGACAAAGTAAAAATGTTGTAATATATTGTTAAAAATTTAGTTATAACATATTCAATTAAGTGCCTTCGCTGTGCCAGTCCAGTATTTACACAAACAAAAAGTCAAATACATAAATGCAATATGTGCGAATGCGAACGAAGTGGAAAATGTTTGACAAGTGCAACAAGTAAACACAATAGCCTCACATAATAGCCAATTATATGTAAATATATATATATATATATACATATATATATTTATGTACATATACATACATACATATGTATGCGCAAATAGTTAATAGCTGAACAATAATACATCACAATCGATATTGAAATCGGAATCACAATCACCGTCGCTGTAGAGGATGAGCCCATTCGGTTCGAAGAAGAACCGTTCATTGCCGGTGCGCGTGAGCACCTTCGATTCGGAGCTGGAGTTCGAATTGGAGACGCGCGCCACCGGCCAAGAGTTATTCGATCTGGTTTGTCGTACGATTGGGCTGCGTGAATCATGGTATTTTGGACTGCAGTATGTCGATACGCGCAACAATGTCTCCTGGCTCAAAATGGACAAAAAGGTCAAAGATCAGCGCGTCGAATTGCATGCAAACAATAACATTTACGTCTTCAGTTTCTATGCGAAATTCTTTCCGGAAAACGTCAGCGAAGAGCTGATACAAGAGATAACGCAGCATTTGTTCTTCTTGCAAGTGAAACAGAGCATTCTATCGATGGACATCTATTGTCGGCCTGAGGCATCGGTTTTGCTTGCCTCGTATGCGGTCCATGTTCAATATGGGCCCTACGACTATGAGACCTACAAGGATGGCATGCTAGCCGGCGGTGAACTGCTGCCCAAGGGCGTCACTGATCAGTATCAAATGACACCCGAAATGTGGGAGGAGCGCATCAAGACCTGGTGGGTATCGAAAAAATAGACATACCTCAAAAGCCTCTACAGCTAGATTTCGAATAAAATTTCTAGGTATATGGATCATGAGCCCATGACTCGAGATGAAGTGGAAATGGAGTATCTAAAAATTGCACAAGATCTGGACATGTATGGTGTTAACTACTTTCCTATTACGGTGTGTAATCTAACCACAAATAGAGTTCGAAAATGTATCTAACCTCACACGTTACTCAACCAAACAAAGAAGTAAAACATCAGATTAATTCGAATTCGATATCGTAAACCTAAACTAATACTCTCCTTCCTAGCGTCAATCTTAGCTGAAACTAACCCAAGGGTATGGTTAGAAACGAATATAACCTCATATTGAAATGATCGTATTACCTTAACTTGAGCTCAAAATCGAACCTAATGTTGATCTTAACTAAAACAAGGCAGGATTCGAGTCCAGAAACGTACATAACTCTACATTTATCTAATCTTAACCTAACCTCATATACTTTACATCTGATTTGACCTAATTTTATACTCCTAACCTTAGAATAAGAACAAAACCAAATTGTGGCTGGGCGTTACGGCCGTGGGTCTGAACATCTATGATGAACGCGACAAGCTAACCCCAAAGACAACGTTCCAATGGAACGAGATACGACACGTTAGTTTCGATGACAAGAAATTCACGATACGTTTAGTGGATGCCAAAGTGTCGAACTTTATATTTTACTCGCAGGACTTGCACATTAACAAAATGGTGAGTGAATAACATCAACTTCATTGAATGTTCTGTCTTAACATAACCTCAAATCCGTTTGCAGATACTTGACTTGTGCAAGGGCAATCACGATCTCTATATGAGACGCCGCAAGCCGGACACCATGGAGATCCAGCAGATGAAAGCGCAGGCCAAGGAGGAAAAACAGCGACGCCAAATCGAACGGAAGAAGTTTATAAGAGAAAAGCAGCTTCGCGAGAAGGCGGAACACGAGCGCTACGAACTGGAAAAGCGGCTCGAGCATCTGCAGGACGAGATGCGTATGGCTAGCGATGCGTTGGTAAGCTAAACGATTCTATATTTAATATATATATATATATATTTGTATATCTATCATGATCATAATTTCCTCTGTAGCGTCGGTCCGAGGAGACAAAGGAGCTGTACTTCGAGAAGAGTCGCGTGAACGAGGAGCAAATGCAGCTAACCGAATGCAAGGCGAATCACTTTAAGACAGAAATGGATCGTTTGCGTGAGCGTCAAATGAAGGTGGAGCGCGAGAAGCACGATTTGGAGAAGAAGATCAGAGATGCCGACTTCTATATGCTCCAGCTGACTGTGGAGAATGACAAACGCGAGGCCGAAACAGAGAAGCTCAAAAAGGAGCTGATCTGTGCCAAAATGGCCGAGAGAGAAGCCACCGCACGTCTGCTGAACTTCCTCAACAGTGGGCGCAAATCGTCGACGGACAGTCTGCTAACAGCATCGACGGTCTCTCAGGCCAATGTTAATAATCCATCAAGCATTGCGGCAATCAGTACACCCTCGCTGACCACGAGCAGCTCCACAAATGATCTGGAAACCGCCGGGGGAGCGGAGCTAACCAACTCTGCCTCCCACTATATTGTGATGGGCGATAACTCTAGCGGCATTTCCGACGACTTTGAACCCAAGAAATTTATCCTAACCGACAATGAAATGGAACAGATCGCCAACGAGATGGAGCGCAGCCATTTGGAATACCTGCGCAAGTCCAAGAAACAGGTGCAAAATCAATTGCAAACGCTGCGCAGCGAAATCGCACCACATAAAATTGAACAGAATCAAAGTAATCTGGATATACTCAGCGAGGCGCAGATAAAGGCGGGCGAGAATAAATATTCAACGCTTAAGAAACTCAAATCCGGTTCGACCAAGGCGCGTGTCGCCTTCTTTGAGGAGCTCTAATAGCAGCGGAAGATACACTGCAAAAAACAAAGAGAGAAACAGAAACTACCTAATCAAGACTCATACAGCGTCAACTTTTAAGCAATATTCTAGTTATTTTTGTCAATTTTGTGAACATTCATTTGCTTGCGTGTGTGTGTGTGTGCACATCTATTTATCTCAGTGTATATCATGTGAATCACTGTATTACTGTATCTATGTTTCACTGTACTTTGTATAGACAAACAATTTGTATCAATGTATGTATGTTGTCTAATTTGTCACTCAATTCAACTTATTGTATAGCTTTTACTTCAGTGTATAGTCAGTCCAACAATTTGTTTCAATGTGCGTCATCTAATTTGTCACCAAATTCAACTTTCTGTACCGTTTTTGTTTCAGTGCATAGTCAAGCAATTTGTATCAATGTGCGTCATCTAATTTATCACTAAATTCAACTTTCTGTAAAGTTTTTGTGTCGGTGTATAGACAATTAATGTGTCAATCTAATTTATCACTTAATGTAACTTACTGTACAGCTTTTACTTCAGTTTATAGAAAAACCATTTGTATCAATTTATGTTTTCTGATTTGTCACTCAATTCAACTTACTGTATAGTTTTTGGCTCAGTGTAAACCGTGATATGTCGTCTCACCGTATATACGTAGCTATTTATTTCAATGTATATCATGGTAATTCAATTCTCTGCTTGTAATTTGCAATTTGTCTCCAGTGTATTTTGTATATATTTATATTTGATGCGTTTGAATATCATTGTACGAGTTTGTCACTGTATTCGTTTTCTCTCAGTGTATCAATGTAATACCATGTCAATAGCTCTAAGCCCTTAACGTTGGCATTATACTAAGATTTGTTGCCGAATTCAATAAAACCTTTTATATCAGGGCGTACAATAAATATACATATATAAATGACTCAGACTCGTTTTTTTTTTATTATGGTAAGGTATTTTTTGAGTTGGAAAAACGGTAAGGTTTAAAGAAGGCAAAGGATTGGAATCTCCATGATGCACAATATTACTAACTACGATTAACTAGATCAACCCGATACGTCTGGACCATATACAATTTTGTTTACGTGCTGTTTGAGGTAAGCTGTGGGGCACTGTAGACAACCAGCCTCATTTATATACATATGTATATTACTTTTTACTGATAGACCTAATTATTTAAAAGGCTATCCTTAGTATCGAACAGTAAGTACCATTAATGTACATTTACATACAAATACTCATACGTATTTTCGTTGTCAGCCTTGCTTGTAGTTTTTAAAATGGCATAACTACTTCCTTCCTGCTCTAATCTATTTTGATGCATAGCTGTTGCTTCTTTTATATTGCTATGCTCCTTACACTCGAGTGTTTAGTGAATGGCAGCTGGGCACATTTCTAACGTATTTATTTTTTCCCTTCAAAAGTCCTAAGGACATTTTGATGTGGCAGCGCTGCTTTTGAAGTTAACTAAGCAGCTTTTGATTCGAGAATCACGCATTTATCGAACCAGATCCAAGAAGCCCACCACAGTAGGAACAGGAACATGGCCGCCTATCGATTAAAATTGTAGGCAGCTGACTTTTCCAACTGTTGAAAAACATTTTACCATTTACATTTATTTTATTTTACTCTTTTAGGTTTTCACACAGAAACACGTAAACGTAGTTTTCCTAACGAATAGGTTTTTTTGTCGTTTTCTTTTTTTTTAATTTTTTTTTTTAATATTTTATTTTTCTTTTTAACTTATGTAGTGGCGTGTCCTTTGCCAACTTTTGCACACATATATATTATATATGTTATATTGCATATAAATTTTTAATGTTAAATTTGGAACACGCACCTTTAAGCTTTCCTCGGAAAAAAATAGATATATTTTTATATATAGCTCCCCCCCTTGCTACCATCAACCCGCAAATTATGACAAAAAGTTTCATTCTTTCGTACTAAGGAATTTCAAATATTTACGTCTTTTTGTTGGTTTTCTTGTTTTGTTTTTTGTTTTTTTTTTTTTAACACCGTGGAATATTTGATATATATATGTATATATATCTTGTTTTTTTTTTTTTTTTAGAAAATGTACATCAACAAATAAAAACAGAAGAAAGTTTGTTAAAATTATTTAAAAAAAATTGTATATATATATTTATATATATATAATTGTTGACTATATATTAAACAATTTGAATTAGAAACTTGTTTGTAGCTTCTGATTTCCTTGGCCCTCCTTGAAATCCTATATATATATATAGCCACACATCAATTGTTATTAACAATATCGCTGCCCCATATCTGTCCCAGACTTTGGCTTGTTCTTATTTTTGTTTCTTTTCATTCATTGTAAATATAATTATTACATATACATATATATATGTATATATATGGATATATATATATAGTACAGACTTATATATATATATATATATATATATATATTTTCTGAATTTTTTTGTAAGCATTTTTGTTTTTTTGTATTTTCTTTTTGTAGTTGGTTTATGTTTTTCTCTTTTTTATCCTGTGTAATGTGGAAATTTTGAAGCCTAATTATGTGTGTGTGTGTGTGTATTTAATTTATAGGCTTCCAGGCGTAAATGTTTTTCTTCATCTGCATCTCAATTGCTTACGCTAGATGTGTGTGTGTGTGTGCTGTGTATTGTGTGTTTGTTATATATTTATATATAGGTATTTCTTTTTTTTCTGTATATATATGAGGGTGTATATGTGTGTCAAGGTTTATCAGCAAACACAACAGCTCTGCTGTTAGCCTCTTTCTGTGGGGGCGTGGCATCTCATTTTATTCCCCGTCAAACAATTCGCGATGTAGCAATTACTATTCTATATGCACACACACCACAGCCGCACACACACACACCCAATCAATGCGACACACACACACACATATTTATAGATGTATATATTTATATAACTTTATATATATATATATATATATATATACAAGCATATATATATATATATACGTATATAAATATATAGACATAGATACAAAGAGACGATATTGGCGTGTACAGAAGGCATTCGCCTTAACAATGTTAACTCAGGGACAACTGATTCAGCGACAACAAACGCTCCACGGCTGCATTGATATCCCCAAACGTTGCAATAAGAGCTGTTGTGGATAAAGAGAAAGAGAGAGAGAGAGAGATCGGATGAGTATATATAGAATAGATATGGATATCAATTTCAATATATATAGCTTGTTATTTGTGTGACAGTTGATATGCTCTTGTAGCAGAGAATCGGCTAGCTTCAAATATACTTTATATCTAATATAGATCAGTCTATAAATTTAGTTATATGATATTATACTACAATTAAGTATAATCAATCATCTATAAAGCACACTCTATTTCCTCTTCTACAAGAAGATTTCCTGACTAGTTTGCTTAAAGTAGATTATACTCCTCTATAAAGCACACATCCTCTTCTATAAATAGATTTACTGACTCGTTCGTTTACATGAGTTTAGATTAGATTATAATGCACTCAATTTATTTCAAAGATTATTCATAGAACAAATATATATATATATATATATATATATATATACTAGCTCGATCTGAGGGAACTTACAAAGTTATACGAGAGATAAATACATATAGTATAGACATTGTTGAGCTATTAGGCTAAGGATCGACTAGTAAGAGTTGACATGACTCAAGTTTATATAGTTATATAGTTTAACCATTAGATAACCAATTGCACTGGACTGGAACATACGTGGCTTAGCTGAAAAATTAATCGACTAACTAGTACACTCAAATGTGGAATTTTAATTTGATTTATATGATCCGTTTGATTTTTCACTGCCCAAATACATATGAGTACAAAGAGATTAACTGTCTATCAACACATGGATCAACTTTCTATATGGGACATGATTGGTATATAACTAAATATATACGTCTGCCTCTACAACCTATATATTTAGTAAGACTGTCTTAAACTAATCTACACTCCGGTCGATTATTATCAAATATCATCTTATATAGATATACATCTATATATGCACTCAACTAGCTATATATATTTAAATAATCTAGTCAGCCTACCCTGCAAATTGGCATCACGGTTGACAAAACCCATTGAATTGAGCTGCTCCAGTTGGGATTGGTAGCGCACCTCTGGTGGCTGCGTGCTGTCTGCATTATTGGACATGCCGTTGAGCATGCGCATCATGAATTCATTAAAGAGCTGGGCATTGGGTCCGCCGCCGGGTGCCAATGGTGGATTCGCGGCACTAGCATTGTTTGGTGTTGTTGAATTAATGCTGCTGGCATTGGTGGCGCTATTAGTGGAATTGTTGGTTGTGTTGCCATCGCCGCTAGCCGGGTCAGTGGGATTGATGCCAGGTGGAGGTGGTGGTATGCCCAGTGTACCAACTAGATTCGGTGCAGCGCTACGCAGCTGTTCCATGCCCTGTTGAATCTGCAGGATGGCATTGATTGCCTCCGGATTGGTTAGCATGTTCATCACATCCGGATTCTGCATCTGTGCCATAAACTGAGGCATCATTTGTCGCACCTGATCCTGCAGCTGTGGATTGTTTGCCAACAGGGGGCTGGTGCTTAGCAAACGTGACGCCATATCTGGATCCTGTGACATCGATTCCATCATCGAACGTGTATAGGGGGCGTTCAATAGATTTTGCATCAATGCTGGATTATCGGCCATCTGTTGAAGCAGGCTACGCATTGCCGGTGTATTGAGTACATTGTTTGGTGGCAGATCCCCGCCACGTTGATTGTTTGGGCCCGAATTGTTGCTTTGGGAGTTGGAATTGGTGCCACTTCGATTGCCGCTTCCAGTGCCCCATGGATTTGGCAACGGATTGCGATTCTCCGTGCCCTGCTGTGGATTAACTCCGGTAGTACCGCCACCGCCGCCCTCAACAAGTCCGGCAAACGGATTGCGTCCAAAGGATTCGGTTGCCGCATTCATCATCGGCTCCTGTATATCACGATAGATGCGCTGCAGTGCGCTATAGCCACCTGGCACCGATTCCAAATTCGACATAGCACGATCATGCGAACGCATTAGCTCCTGCAACATCGACGGATTGCGTGCCAACTCCATTGTCTGACGCAACAGATCAGGATTGTTAAGCATATGCGAAATTTCTGGATTACGCTGCATTAAATCCTGCATTTGTGGATTCGACGTGATCAGCTGACGCATAGTCTCGGGATTGTTCATCATTTGCTGCACCAGCGGATTATCCATCAGTGTGCGCAACATATCCCCATTATTTAACAATTCATTCTGCATGCGTGCCTGCAAATCCATAAAAGTATTCGACCCGGCTCCTAGTGCTTCCATACCAGCCAATCCACCAAAATGGTTCAGGCCAAACGGTGTTTGACGTACATCGGCCGGTGCACGTGCCGGCGCTTCATTCGTACGTGTGGGCGCTTTGATAACGAGATGTACTGTCAAATTGTCCTTGATGTTATGCATTTTAAGGGTGTCGGTGTCCTTCATGATTTTACCAGCAAAGATTAGCACCAATTGCTCGGGTTCAGCCTCAAATTTTTGTGCCACCAAAATTTTGAACTAATTGAAAGAAAGAATTTTATAAATCAACACTAATAAAAACAATTCAATTTTAATTGCAAAATGTAAAGAAAAACAACGAACAATGTTGCCCCATCATCATCAATATTTACATACAATGACACACTAGCATACACACATACACATGCATATACATTATTTGCACTTTGCCATCCTTTCTAGAAAAAATGCACTGTACCTTCAATTATAGGCATGCACGCACACATGCACACACATACGTGGTGCACAGAAGACAAGTGTGCCCACCCTCCGGACAGTGCTTAGCCGCAATAATTATGTTTTATTAGACTGCCTCTGCCCTCGCCGTTGACCATGTACCATCACATACTCCCAAATACAAGTACTCACATCTTTTATTCCAGAATCTTCATCGACTTCAACAGTTTTCTTGTCCTTTGGCGTTTTAACTACCACGTTGATGCGCTTACTACCGCCTTCGGCCATTTTGATATTGTTTTTTTCGCGCTAGTTTGATGCGTTTAATATAATGCTGTTTTCACAATGTTTTTTTGCAGTTTTTTTATTTTCTATATTTTTTTGTGATCGCCTATTGAAATTTATATGTGCTTTCAAAATAAATTATTTTCCATTTGATGAAAAGTAATTCGTCACTTTCTCACATACGACACACACACACATATAAATATATGTCACATACAGAGCTAGTGTGACCAACACCGCACAATCAAAAATGATCACTAAAATGCTTTTAGTGTGGTCACACACAAATTCCGATTTATGTCATTTGAGTGGCGCAGTTGAGGAATATATTCTATTTAAAACTCAAAGCACAGAAATCGACATGTTAACATTTAAAATATGTAAAATGTTGCTACAAAATAATTTTATTGTTATTATAAATGTAATAGATTGAAAATGAAGTGCTCAAATATTTGAATTTAATTACCGAAATAATTTAAATTTATTTCTACGTATATTATGTATTTTTTGTCGTTAAAATACCAGTGTCGCGTCAATGCTGTCCGGCCACACTGGTTGAAGCAAACGACAAGCAAAAGGCAACGCATAAGGCAAAGCAAACGGTTGAGTAGTGAGATCGTGTGCATGTGTTTATTAAAACGCAACAATAAACAACGAAAAAACAAAATACGTTGATTATAGTTATTCAAATATAGAATCTAAACGTTCGTTAAAAACTAATTTTTGCCTTGGGCATAGAAAAGAAGAGCTGTATTTGGTACAAGCATACGAATCAAAATGCCATAAAAATCAGTTCTTGGAATTTTTGGGTAACATATATAAAACGGTTTTTCTGAGAATTACCAATACCAGTGCCAACAAGTGCCTCGTACCCGTGCCCCAGGTATTTTCTTGTCTATCGAATAGAAAAGGTGTGTACTTACTTCAAGTAAATGATTGTGTTTGTGTGTACAATGTGTGGACCTATTTAAATAAATTGATAAATAAATATGGATATTTATATTAAAAAGCATGTAAATTTTGGTATATAATTGCAGATGCAAATCAATGATTGCAAAGAAACAAAAATGCAACAAATAACATTTGTGCTCGCTGTTATTGTAGCCTGCTGTATTGTGGGCATAAATGGACAGCCTCCGTCACCCGGCTGGGTGGTGCCGGAGAAGGCGGAGGTGCCCGTTGGCAGCGATCTAAATATCACCTGTACCATCAATCAGGCCTTCTTCGATTCGTCGAAAACAAATGAGACCTGCAGGGTGAACGATTTGTATTTCAAAGCGAATATCAATGATGCTGTGCGTTACTTCAATGGCAGCGATCTGCAAATTATCAACGAGACCACCATAATGATGTCCTTTAAGAATATGTCCGATCAGGAGGGCGAATATCTGTGCATGTGCAAAGAGATGGGCATGTTCTCATCGAAGGTGGATGTGGGCACCAAGCCGTTGCCGGTCCAAGATTTCAATTGCACCAGCTACGATTGGGACTATATGTTTTGCAATTTCACCGAGCCAAGGAATAGCATTAATACTAAATACAATATCAGCTTTACAACGGACAAGAATACGAATTATCGCTACTATGTTGATTGCAACTTTGATGCGGCGCCTGTGGTCAATTGCAATATAACTAGCGAACAGTATAAGAAGTTTTCGCAAATCTATTTCTTTCGCTTGGACATTGCCAACACGTTGGGCAATGCCAGCCAGGATATCGAGGTGAATAATGTGGAGCGCATGGTCCTCGCACGTCCTGGCCAAAACTTGAAGCTGCTCAATCGGACAAAGGACTCGATCTGTTTATCGTGGGAGATGCCGCGGCGCAGCAATTTCGTTGGCGGCGTTCTCTGGCGTGTCCTCGTCACACCTGAAAACTTTCCCACCTTGATGCGTCCCATGTGGCGCAATAACTCATCGGCTGCCAAGGATACGCTCTGTCTCACTGAACTGCCATATCCCGGCTACAACTATCTATTGGAGCTGCGCGTGCGCAATAATAAAACCAAATCCCGTTGGAGTCCGCCGCTCAACTATGAATTTCGCACAGCTGCCGAGCGACCGGCGCGGCCGCCGCGCGTAACCAACGGCAGCTTCTATGTCTATTCGTCGGAGTCATCGCTCACCCTCTACTGGGAGCAGCTGCAAAAGCATGAGATGAATGGTGACAACTTTACCTATGTAATTAGCGAGATTCGATGCAATGATACTATCAGGTGAGTAAAACAATCAAATCGTTTACACGATGAACTTTAAAGTTAAACTTGATTGGGTGTCTAAACATTGAACGTGATTAGCTGATAAATGCCTTCAATCGCCGAAGAAACTTTCTTAAAACTAAAGTAGTAAAATTATTTTGAAGTACGTTTACACGATCATTAAATATTTACATATGTATAAATATAAATGATGTATCAATATATAATCTATGATCAATATATGATATGGTTACAGCACTACAAGTGCAAGGGCTGTTCTAGGCTTGACTTAAACCATTTATGTCGAATATTGCGTTTATACGATACCATATTGTCTCTAAACTCCCACCATAACCATGGACTGGCATTTAGCTTATCATTATATTTAAATACGTTTATTTACACACATATATACCAGTCATAAAGCTTGTCATGATAATTAGAATTACACGAGGTAACGAAATCATGATAAGCTTTCACCATTTCGATTGAAAGTACAAAGTTTACACGATTAACCCCAAGAATGAGCAATTAAAACATTCTCTTAGCTTTCATTAACACTTAAACCGATTTCGTTTACCTTTTTTGCGATTAGCTAGTAAATACTTTCATATAATAGTTCCAGGTATTAATGAGTTTTAGGAATAATAAATATGATAAGCATTTGTGAAGTTTATCATTATTAGCCAATACATATACAGAGGCACACACACACATGAATGCATCAATGTTTGGTTTTATTGAACACAAAAATAAATATTCTCAATAGTATGGTCATGAATTGTTATTTTATTGTTGTTTTCTCGCAAATTAATATCCAAATGGTATGTTTATTTTCAATTATGAACTACATACATACATATACACATTTGTATATACGGCTATAAAAATGATTAACGCGAAAAGCTCGTTTTTCAAGCATTTCCTATTTCTAGAGAATTGTTTGTTTCTACTTCCATTTAATTGATAATTAATCACGACTAAATGCATCGTGTAAACTTATATTTCTTGCCAACAACTGCCACAGTGCAAAATACAAAAGTCTGGCAACGCTCTGCTTCTTTACCTCATTGTAACGATTACAAAGTTCAATTTAAATTTTGTTTTATTTTGTGTGTGTGAATTTAATGAAATTTTGTATTATTGTTTACAATAGCTGCGCACAGCGTTGCCACCTTGTCAATATAATGAAAATGTGCAATTTTTTGATATGTTAGTAAAGATTTTATATACCCTGTAAATATAAATTAAAAAAAAAAAAAAAAACACTTCAAGCTAAACGTTGCTTAGCTACAAATCTTAATTTGGGGCAATTTTAATAATTGCTCGCTTCAATTAGCGAGCAACAGCTATAAATACTTACATATGTATATGTATACATATGTATATACTTAGGTGTATTAGTATATATGGGCATATGTATGTATGTACATACTCCGATTCTCAAATTGCAGCAAAGCGTCGTTATTTAAGTCGAATTAAAACTATAAACATGCATGTACATACATACATATATGTATGAACCCACATACATACACATACATATGTACATAAATACCTACATTTGTATTTATACGAATACATCTGGTCGCATGCCTGATGCGGAACTGCACTGAAACATTGAGAAATTTCCATTAATTTTCATCTAGCTGAAGCAATCATATGCTATACCCTAACAATGTTGCATAACGGTACAGTTATCAAATGTGTTACAAATATATACATATATATAAAAGTTCGCTAAGAATCAAAATTTTATACATACCCACATGAGTTTTGATTCTGGTTAGGAATATATGTATATATATATAATTGATCTAATATAGAAGTGCTCTGAGAATAATTCCTTTTTTATCTAGTTATATCTTCAGTTCAATGAAGATTCTGCGGATTGAGCGTAAAATCCGACATACATATATTAAATAGGCATAACTTTTGATTCATTTATATTTATATGTATGTATATATGTTTCTCATATCATATCATGTGTTCAGCTAGGGTATCGACTCGTCGACTTGCCTTCAATTTGCTGCTCCTCCACTTGCTTGTTTTTACATTATAAAAGCGCATTTCTTATTAAACGGCACATACCCATTGCAGGAACGTAATGAATGCTCAACCAAACATACGAAAATTCAAAGAATTTTTAAAAATAAACAATTTTCAAGAAAATTTCAACGTGCTACGTATACATACAGACACATGTCTGTATGTACAAATGTATGTATGTATCTATAGATGTCTGTATGTAGGTATAGCATAAGTCGCTTTGTCCGACCGTCTGTCTGTCTGTCAGTATCTCTCGTTAATATTCGAAAAATAGTTGCGTTATCGCAATTACTTAGAACAGAAGTTGAATTTGAAAAGATTTTCGCTTGAAGAGCTCTGCATTGATATCAAAAATTTTATAAGAAAGAAATACATAGAAAATAATTAGTTCTGGAATTTCCTAATTAATTATCTGAGCTACATATAACAGACAAATAAATGGATTTATACTCATTCACACAGTGAAATGGGGTATATCAGAGTTGTCTGTTGCACGTCTAGAGACGTGAACTTTGGAATACATTTACATTTGTATATGTGTATGTATATGTATTCATATATACATACATTTGTATGTATGCATATGATTACGCCTGATATAAGCATATGAAATGCTGTACAGACATAATAAGATTTATCAAATGGTTTTCTTTTAAACATAAGATTGAAAATCTGGCTTCTAAATCTACCGTAGAACACCTTTCTTCATCTCGGATAAATGCCTATAACTGATCTGAAAAGTTACCTTATAAATGCAAATGTGATCATGAATGAGTATTATGAAGTCTTATTTTCATATATTATTTTGCTATTTTATTTTCCTTTT